CGATTCAGGCGGTCCTCTCATTTGTGATGGGATTTTAGAAGGCATTGTGTCATGGGGAATTGGCTGTGCTCTTCCGTACTATCCTGGTGTCTATACAAAAGTGAGAAACTACAACCGATGGATTGACTGGATCATCAGCTCTGACAGCTAAAACACAGGTTTAACTGAATGTGGGAAGGCTTTCCTTCAATCTGAATTAAGTATGTAATTTAACAATAAATCCTACTTCAAGTACTGATGCTTTCACATTGCATCCAGAGTCTCAAAGATTATAGATTAACATGCATATTTTGGACTATAAAAAGCATTGAATACTTAAATTAACTTTATTTGATCTTTTATGTTATGTTAATGCATATTTTCATTCAAATTTCTATATCCTATATATATATATATATATAGATATGTATATTCCATATAAGGCTTTTGCATGAATGCTTGAAAATGAATGCTAGTTTTGAAGGTAAATATAAACTGTGCCAAAATATGAATTTCTTTAGAAAACTGAATTCTATTTAGTTTTTCTAAATGTTGTAACAGATAGAAAACTCCTTCAATATAATTTAAAAAGCATCCCAGGATGCATCTCACGAAGCTGTTTGATAGAATGACCTGGAAGAAATCTAGCTGACTGATGGAATTGTCACAGTTTCGTTTTTAAATACATAAAGTTTACAACAAGCTCTTACTTGCCTCTTTATTGCAGTCATATCCTCATACGAGTCTCTGAACTCTGAACCGAGTAAACAGGATAATCTTTACTCATCCGTCTGGTTACTTACAATTCTGTGCATTAGACTGTTAGACATGGCTGGCCCAAGCCTTTATGGGGTCCTAAGCAGAATTTTATTTGGGGGCCCCTCGGTGTCGCCAATACGACTGATTATTGTCAATTCTTGATTATTCGCACACTATAAATGTAACACACCCATTATCAGTTTTATGTGTTGTAGCTGTGTTGCTTACATCATACCAATGTTTTTACCTTTCTATGATTTTTAATTGTAACAGCAGCAAACCCACAAGAGTGGTCAGGTGTTAATTTGAACTCCAACATTCAAAGTCTTACAGTACTAAGTGGCATACTTGATGTGGTGTACTGAAAAGTAGCTAAATAAACCAGCAAACAATGCATTTACAGAACAGAATGCGATTTTGACAACAAATTATTATACACAGCAGCAAGCCATCTGTACATAAAAAACAACCAGTCTTAATCTATAACTAACTAATCGAGGCATAATGATATTGGAATATAATAGCAAAGACCCCAAAGGTAGGCTAAGGTAAATAATGTTAAGCTGTTATTAGTACCAAGTTTATGAAACATTATTAGGCCTATTATTAATGAAACATTATTATTACACAAATATATACCCAGGAAAGTTATTTTTACACAATCAAAACTTTAATCTAAAATTAGCTAAGTAAAATGTTATATTATAATATATCAGGGTTACCAACATTGGTTGCCTGGCTGGAGTGAGATACATGAATATATAACATAAAACAAATAAATAAATACACACTGCCCTTTGCCCACTGTTTGTCTAAAGTGTACATTTTTTTAAACACTTAAAATATTTTAAAGCCTATATTATTTTTTTAACTCTACAGTTGTGCAGTAAAATTCACTTTAAAGATTCACTTTTCATTCATGAAGATGAAAAAAATTGTCAAAAATGTGTCTCCTGGTGGAAAACAAAGACTTAAGATGAAAATGACATGAAATGACCATTATAACCAGTAGATGGCAGCAGAGGATCACTCATCGGCTCAGTCATTTCCACTCCCTAGTTTTTGTGACATCTTGCTTTTGGATTTATTATAAAACGATCATACCAAATTTTTTTACTTTTACTGTACTAAAGTATGAATAAGTTAATTAGTAATGGTATAATAATTAAATAATAATGCATTAGGTATTTTATCTTTAACGGTAGACGCTGCTAAATATTCAGCCAGCAGACTTGTCGCTGCTGTAGGTTTGTTACTCTGAATTTACTCTGCATCAATTAATGCACAGCTCTGTTTTGACATCGGCTTGTCAGATAGTTAATTCTGTCCATTGCTACAATATTTATCACTGTCAATCATAGCAATGACTCGCGGAACAATTTAGCAGATTCACTCGCGTAAATTTTTTGCGTTATTTGTCATCCCTGAAACAGTATGACTAACAAAACTTTTCTTCAAATTTTAAATGGTTTATGTGAGAAACCTTTTTTTCTTGTTATAATGGGAAGATCTGCGAGAGCGTAGAACTCCATAAACTTATGAAAACAATTAGTTTAGAGCGGATTCTGACTGACCTACAGTAAACACCTCTGATCTGATTCTGATCTGATGTGTGCATGATGCGTCGCTATGAAAATAAGATGACACGTATAGATTATTTAATATAATGTTTGTTGTATAATTACCATTGTCCACTGACACTATATTACCAAAAAAAAATGTACTCATGTACTCTTGGGGGCCCCCTGGTGGCCATGGGGCCCTAAGCAGCCGCTTAGTTCGCTTATGCCTTGGGCCGGCTCTGCTGTTAGACATTTCAAAGGGTTTTTACAGTAACTTACTGGCAACAGATTTACAGTACACTCTAAAAAATGCTGGGTTGTTTCAACCCAACTTTGGGTCAAAAATGGACTAACTCAACTTTTGGGTTAAAAATTTTAATAAAAAATTTGACCCAAAGTTGGGTTGAAACAACCCAGCATTTTTTAGAGTGTACAATAACTGTATTTAACTTTTACAGTAACTATCGTGTAATACAGTGCAATTACTGTAAAAAAACCCAAGTCATCAGTATACTACTGTAATTCCCTAATTTGAATATAGATTTCAATAGATTTTGTAATTTTTATATAGAATTCATTTTATTTTTATCCTACATAGGTACTACTGACATTCAGTTCAAACAGACACAATTATTACAAAATATCAAATGCTTTATTTCTAACATTGCATATATAACACTTAAAAATACTCAGACATTGAGACATATATTATATTTTTACCTTGCTTGCTGGTCTTATTCTCTCGTAAGGTGCATCAACTCACAGCGCAGATGTTCTTCGGAGCTCTTCCACTCCCGAGTTCAATCCCTGGGCAAAACCCGCGGCGCTGCCGTGCTGGTTCCTTGTCTACCTCGGATGCGAGCGGCGCAACTCGACAAAAGACTAAATAGAACCCATTATAATCAGTGATAATATCTACAATGGATGCCGGACAGTAAACTGATGCCCCGGTGTATTTCTGACGTACAGTAGAAGTTTCTGACACGAAGGACAAACGGATTTGCCAATCATTATTATTGAATCATTACAAGCGATTTAACACTTTCAATGTAGACAGTGTCAAGCTGTAGCGGCGTTGTCGACACGTTGTAAGGCAAATCCTGTCAATCCAAATGTAAGAAATTAGGAAAATAAAAAACCTAAATGGAATGGCGCCAAAGAGGCTGTTACAGCAAATACAGTAGTATACAGCAATTTAAAAAAATACAGTAGGCCTACCCTCTCTGTAGTGTTTGAGTTCACAGAAAATTCCCATGTTGCAAAGGGAATTAGTTATTTACTGTAAAGGGAATTTGTCCATTGATAACAGATATATTATATAATATATAGATCAGCGGTAGTAGCCTATACAGTAAATAACTGTAGAAATGACAGAAATGTCTAACAGTGATACCTCAAATTAGCCTAAATAGTTTCTAATAGTCATGAGAATAAATGTTTAAACCACATTTAGGTAAGTGAAAATGTTTTGTTCATTATGTTGACGGTGCTGTGTGTAATGATTGTCAGAAAGGTGCGATGCACAATCCGGTTCGTGCAATTTCACAGCTTGTCATCTATGTGAATTATTAAGTAAATGGGAGTTTTGACATTGCTTCATCAAAATACTCCATGCTAAGTGTGAAAGAGTCATTGCATCACTAATTTCCTCCTTAGTCACACACACACACACACACACATTAACTTGTGACTTGAAGCCATATAGTGCCTGGCTGTTAGATAGACAGCAGCATTATGAATAGCTGGAGCCCAGAAGCACTTGTTCGGAAGTCTCAGGAAGCCAGAAATCAGGCGTATTGTCCCTACAGCAAGTTCAGAGTTGGAGCAGCTGTCTTAGCAAGCAATGGAACCGTGTTCACAGGTGAGGACGCTCTAAAAAAATGTGTCTTTGTTATTTGAACACGACAAATACATATATAACATTAAATTGTTTGGAATCATTACGATTTCTTATCCTCTTATCCTCACCAAAGCTGCATTTATTTGATCAAAAATACAGTAAAAACAGTAATAATGTGAAATATTATTCCAATTTAAAATAGATGTTTTCTATTTGAATATATTTTAAAATGCAATTTATTTCTGTGATGAAAAGCTGAATTTTCAGCATCATTACTACAGTCTTAAGTGTCACATGATCCTTCAGAAATCATTCTAATATTTAAAAAAATACAGTAGGCCTACCCTCTCTGTAGTGTTTGAGTTCACAGAAAATTCCCATGTTGCAAAGGGAATTAGTTATTTACTGTAAAGGGAATTTGTCCATTGATAACAGATATATTATATAATATATAGATCAGCGGTAGTAGCCTATACAGTAAATAACTGTAGAAATGACAGAAATGTCTAACAGTGATACCTCAAATTAGCCTAAATAGTTTCTAATAGTCATGAGAATAAATGTTTAAACCACATTTAGGTAAGTGAAAATGTTTTGTTCATTATGTTGACGGTGCTGTGTGTAATGATTGTCAGAAAGGTGCGATGCACAATCCGGTTCGTGCAATTTCACAGCTTGTCATCTATGTGAATTATTAAGTAAATGGGAGTTTTGACATTGCTTCATCAAAATACTCCATGCTAAGTGTGAAAGAGTCATTGCATCACTAATTTCCTCCTTAGTCACACACACACACACACACACATTAACTTGTGACTTGAAGCCATATAGTGCCTGGCTGTTAGATAGACAGCAGCATTATGAATAGCTGGAGCCCAGAAGCACTTGTTCGGAAGTCTCAGGAAGCCAGAAATCAGGCGTATTGTCCCTACAGCAAGTTCAGAGTTGGAGCAGCTGTCTTAGCAAGCAATGGAACCGTGTTCACAGGTGAGGACGCTCTAAAAAAATGTGTCTTTGTTATTTGAACACGACAAATACATATATAACATTAAATTGTTTGGAATCATTACGATTTCTTATCCTCTTATCCTCACCAAAGCTGCATTTATTTGATCAAAAATACAGTAAAAACAGTAATAATGTGAAATATTATTCCAATTTAAAATAGATGTTTTCTATTTGAATATATTTTAAAATGCAATTTATTTCTGTGATGAAAAGCTGAATTTTCAGCATCATTACTACAGTCTTAAGTGTCACATGATCCTTCAGAAATCATTCTAATATTCTGACTTGCTGCTAAAGAAACATTTCTGATTATTATCAATGTTGAAAACAGTTGTGCTGCTTCATATTATGTATGATAATTTTTTCACGATTTTTTGATGAATATAAAGTTTAGAAGAGAAGTTAAAAAGTATAGCATTTATTTAGAATAGAAATCCTTTGGATCATTATTAATATCATTACTGTCACTTTTGATTAATTAAATGCATACTTACTGAATGAAATTATTAATGTCTTTTAAGAAAAAACTTACTGAACCCAATCTTTTGAAGGGTAGTGTGTATATTTGTTTTGTTGCTATATTTTGAATGTGTGTTTCATTGTGCTTCAGCATATGGTAATGTTTAACAGGTTGTAATGTAGACTTACTGAACTCAAACTTTTGAACGGTAGTGTGTATATTTGTTTTGTAGCTATATTTTGTATCCGTGTTTCATGGTGCTTCAGCATATGGTAATGTTTAACAGGTTGTAATGTAGAAAACGCATGCTATACTGCTGGACTGTGTGCTGAGAGGACTGCTATCTCTAAAGCTGTGTCTGAGGGACATACCAGCTTCAAAGCCATCGCAATTGCCAGGTATTTCAATATAGATAGATAATTTATTTGTCCTCCGAGAGGAAATACATTTTCAGAGGGTGCGTATATAACACCAAGACAATTATCACAATACAATCAAAAACAGTCCCATCACATCAAAACACAAATGCATAAGTGTAAGACGATGGTTGATTTCCTATGTGTTTAAAACACGTATAGCTGTAGGAACAAAACTCTTTCTATACTTAGTCTTCCTGCACATAGGTGTACCTACGGCCAGATGGAAGGGGAATAAAATACAGATGGAGTGGGTGATCTGGATCATTTAGGATTGTATGTGCTTTCCGAATCGTAGCTAAAGTGATACAGTCTGATAATTTAGGAGTAGGAATACCAATAATTTTACTAGCCAAATGAGTTATCTTTAAAGGTTCGTTGAATGAATGAATGAATGAATTAATGCTTAGATACAGGAGAAGAAGGAGACGAGACTGAACAGACAAATGCTTAAGTTTCTGTTGACAGCCCTTGTAGATACATCGAATATGCTGATTAAAATTGAGATGATCATCCAATGCAATGCCAAGGTATTTAAAATGCTCCACCCTTTCAACCATCTCTCCATTGATAATAATACTGGAATGGATCTGTGTTTTGGAGGAGCTAAAAACCAGTTCTTTAGTCTTTGAAATATTAAGGTGAAGAAAATTATCATCACACCATGTACTAAAGTATGTTATGGAATGTTGATAGTCCAACAAAGAATCATTATCCCTGTTATTGAGCAGCGCAAGAATGGCTGTGTCATCTGCATATTTAAAATAATGAGTTGTAGTACATGGACTCTGACAATGATTCGTATAAAGAATATAGAGAAATGGACTTAATACACATCCTTGGGGGGCCCCAGTATTAAGAACAACAGTGGGTGATAATGAATTGTCTTCTTTTACCACTTGCGGTCTATTAGACAGAAAATTATAAATCCAGTGAATTAGTGGTGATGGAACTTGCAAGCCCTTTAATTTCTTGATTACCTGATGACGCTGAATTGAGTTAAAGGCAGAACTAAAATCAACAAAAAGAAGTCTAGCATAATTTCCAGGGATGTCCAGGTATTGAAGTAAACAGTGCAGAAGACAAGCCACTGCATCATCTGTACCTCTTTTCTGCTCGTATGCAAATTGAAGACAGTCCAAAAATTGCGACACATGTGGAAGAATGATATTTTTAGCCATTTTCTTGAAACATTTCATTATGATTGAGGTTAACGATACCGGCCTATAATAATTAAACTCTGATGGATGTCATTTTTGGGGAATAGGAATGACAATTGATGATTTCCATATAGCCGGTATTTTTTTAAGTACAGAGTGATCGAAGAAAGAGAGAATGAAGAATAGAAGTTAATTCCAGGGCACATTTTTTCAAAACCCGACCTGGAATTCCATCTGGCCCAGGAGCCTTATTGGGTTTGCACTTAATGAGCTGGAAATAGACATCCTGCTTGGTTAAGAGGGACTCATAATCCAACTCTTGAAAGGGCAAAGAATCCAAAAGGCTGTCACACTCTGCTGAAAAATCAGAGATATCAAAATGGGCATAAAAGTTATTAAGATTAGTAGCAAAAGGATCTGATACACAAGTAGTCTTTTTAATAGATTGTCCAGTAAGAGTCCTGACACGATGAAAAGCCTGTTTAGTGTTCATGTTTGCAAAATCCTGCTCTATTTTGATTTTATAATTATTTTTCCCCTTAGAGATTTCTTTTTAATGTCCCGGTTTATAATTTAGAGAAATCATATATAGCTATATTCTGTCCTAGATGCGTGTTCCATCTACGCAACACTGACAGATAGCTAACAGTCAGAAGTCAGAAAAGGAGCAGAAGCAGGAGTAAAGTTGAAAGTTTTACTGTTAGGTTCTTTCCTCTTCCATTTCTTATTCTTTTCTTTTTTGTAAAACTGAAACGTATAAAGATTACCTGGTTCAGGTGTGTTTAATTGGGATTGGAGCTAAACTCTTCAGGACACCGGCCCTCCAGGACCGAGTTTGGGCACCCCTGCTCTAACCCAAGAGTCACATGGTCTAAATCAACCACTAAGAAAATAGCTAACAATTATTAATGTTCTTTGTTGTTACACCAAACTGCCACAAGATGGTGATAAAAAATAACAAACGAATGCATGACATGACAAGCTATATGTATGTATTGACTAAAGTGTAAGTAAGTATTGTTGTAATATTCCTGGTATAAACTGTCTTTTGTGCAGTGACCTTGAAGACCGCTTTATTTCTCCATGTGGAGCCTGCAGGCAGTTCATGAGAGAGGTCAGTTCTTCAAAAAATAAAATTATGCAAACTGATCATTATTATTGTTTTATTATTACTATTTATGAAGACACAAATGTGCAATTTAAATGTGATATGTCAAAACAAGTCAGAACCAAAATGACAAACTAGAAATGCCTGTAAATTTGGGTGTGGCCCTGGGTTGCTTATAACAAAGAACAATTACAAACGAATGTGAGTGAGTAATGGACAAATAATGTTTCAGCTTCCACTGCTACTGTCATTTAACGGACTGTTTATGTCAACTGTCTTGCAGTTTGGCTCACAGTGGGACGTTTATCTGTCAAAATCTGATGGATCTTACAAACTGATGACAGTGGAGGAGCTCCTGCCGTGTTCATTTGGTCCTGAAGACCCGAGGACAGGAGAAAACACTGTTGGCAATTCAAAACTGTAATAAAAATGAAGCTATAAGCCATGTTACAAACCAGATGTGCAGGATATACAGATTTAAAATGTATTGAATGGATGTATAGTTGTATTATTTCCCAATTTAAAAAATATGTGTATAAATGTAAACGAATAAAAAAAAAACATATTCTGAACTGTTGTGTGCTTATAATTGACTCACCGCTTTGAACGTTTTATTGATACTTTTATCTTAAAAGATGTGCGATCTTTACCTTTATTGTGAAATACGTTTCCTGTGACTTTTATTTTGAAAGCTGTAAACAAAAAGTGACGTCTCACGGACCAATCAGCGTTACATAAACACTGCCCTTAATGTAGGGAGAAGTTGGGTTTTCTGCAAACTCAAAGTGAAATTTAGTTCTTCATTCGGCTCAAAATGTCAGTGAAGCGTGCTCTCAGTCGGGGGTTGGAGCTGGGGAGGTCGCTTATCCAGCTGGGGCTCTTCAAACCAGCCGGCCGTGTGGCTGCGAAGTTCCGCGGTGAGCGGCTGCGTGTGTCCCGGCCGACCCGCACCGTCCAGCCGCAGACCTTCCTGCCCGGTCGGTACCGCTTCTTCCGCCTGTCTCTCAGCGGGCTGGCCGCCCAGCTCCAGTCCGGGGCTTTCAGGAGAGTGGTTGGAGGTGGTGCACCCAGAAACAGGGCTGTTTTCCTGGCTTTTGGTGTGGGTTTGGGGCTGATTGAACAGCAGCTGGAGGAGGACAGGACAAGCGCTGCTCTGTGTCAGGAGATACAGGTGAAAAACACCATCACATAAGAACACAACAATGACTATAGTTGTATATCTAATAATAATGATATAGCATAATAATAATTGAGCATTCCTGTAGCTCAAACAGTGGTATGGTCATGTTGATTAACAGAGAAGGCATAAAAAAATTTATTCGCTTTGGTAATAATAAACGTCTGCCAAATGCATAAATGTAAAATATTTAAGTAATTTAAATGTATATGGCTTCGCCATCACAAGAATAAATTACATTTTAAAATGTATTAAATAGAAAACAGTTATTGTAATAATATTTTACATATTACTGTTTTTTACTGTATTTGTTTATCAAATAAATGCAGCCCTTGTTCCAAACTTTGACTAATAATGTATATATTATATATTATTATAATTTAACGTATAATATTACACTTGTTATATTAATATAATATTATTACAATGTTGCATTCTTTACTCCTTGTTGCATAAAACACTTATTACTTGTAACATTGCGATATTACGTTCACAGTAATTCATAAATGTAATTGAAACATAATTAAGAAAACAACAGGTTATTAGTTAACCTAGTCTGATTACAAAATACTGAACAGTAACAATAATTTTATGTTTTACATGTCATTATCTATCGCATCAGGTTACTACTTTCTTCTAAAGTTCATTAGATCTAGTCAATTTTGCACAAGCACACATGCAAATGATATGCAGAGAGTATTATAAATATATGCAAATTACAACATAGCAACTGTACCCATAATGCATTTATCATTAGTCAGAAATGCATGTTATTACATTGGAATACAACTTCTCTATTCATTTTCATTTAAATAAATTCAAGAAAAATTGTCAGTTGCAATTACATGTGTATTTACAGGCTTGTTTACATGTTTTTCCACAATGTTTTTTCGATGTAGGCCGTATTCAGAAAGAAGAAGTTCCAGACCCCTCTGAAGTCTTTTACATTGGGGTACAAGTTGGAGGACTATGTGATTGGGAAACAGATCGGGAAAGGTTGCAATGCAGCAGTGTATGAGGCAGCGGCTCCATTTGCGGCCCCTGCGGAGAGCGGGAAGTGTTCACTGCTGGAACTCAGCCAGAAAGAAACAGATGATGACAATAAGAAAGCAGGACCACTTCGATTCTCAGCTACACCCAGCTTTCCTTTAGCTATGAAAATGATGTGGAACATTGGGGTGAGAATTTAGAGTATTTTAGCATTCTATTGTGGAATAAAATATATTCTTTTGGATTTTATAATGCATATACCATACAGTATTCCATAATCCCTCAACAGCTTTTTCTAATGAACATTTGATACTGTTCAATAGGCTGGTTCATCAAGTGACGCCATCCTTCGCTCTATGTCTATGGAGTTGGTTCCTGCATGTTCACAGGCCTTAACGGAAGAGCAAGGAGAGTTCGCTTTGGATGGGTGAGTTCATATGTAGACTTTAGCAGTACAGCATGGCCTTAAAATAGACTGAATCATTGCCGATGGCTTTGCTATTTTTACAGCCACTTTGGAATGGTGCCTAAAAGACTGACCGCTCATCCCAACGTGATCACAGTGTACCGGGCCTTCACTGCTGAGGTCCCGCTGCTGCCTGGAGCTCAGGAGGAGTACCCCGATGTCCTGCCTGCCCGACTCAATCCACTGGGTTTGGGCAGCAATCGCACACTGTTCCTGGTCATGAAGAAGTGAGGAATCATGAAAACACAGTTAAAAAAAGAAAACAAAAAAAAACAAAATAATAATAATAAATTAAAAAAAAAAAAAAAATATATATATATACAGTAGTCAACATTTGAAGTGGATCAAAACCTTTCATCAAAGTTGTCCTAAACCAAAATTCGTTCTTGTC